CTAATATATATATATATATATATATATATATATATATTTATTTATTTATTTATTTATTTATTTATTTTTCAACGTTTCACAGTATAAAACGAATTATTAAATTATATTATTCATTTTTCAGGAAGCAATTGCGGTTGGGAGGTCGTTCGCTTCAATCAAAGGGTACCATCTTGATGGGAACAAAGAGATGATGGCTATGGGATTCATGAACATTGCCGGTTCTTTAACTTCTTGCTATGTTGCGACCGGTACGTTTCAATTTTTCCGGTTTATCTTATTTTCCCCACAATGAACCGTACCGAGCTAAACCAAGAAAAAAGGGCATCAAACCTTCAAGCCTTGAAATGCCTTGGGAAGCATTAGGGTTTCGATCCTCCAATCCATATATGTAGTCTTTGAGACTAACCCTCCATACTTAATGTCCAAGATTGATATGATTGATACGTGAAATTAGTCTTCGAAACCGAATTTGGTAAATTCGTAGTCGGAAATTCGACCTTTTTATTCGATAGCCATAAACGCTCACCCGACATTCAAGTATCCATGTGGAGAAGAATATAATTGAGAATTATGAAGAGTTCACTCAATTGATATAGAGATATTAACGACGTGATATTCGTTCCAACGAAGAATTATGGAGACGGATCGTGTTTATATAATTCTGAATTCAGGATCATTCTCGAGGACGGCAGTGAACTTCAGCGCGGGGTGCGAGACAACGATGTCGAACATAGTGATGGCGATAACGGTGATAGCGGCGTTGGAGTTGATGACGAGGTTATTGTATTACACTCCGACCGCAATCCTCGCCTCAATCATCCTATCGGCTCTTCCGGGCCTCGTGGACGTCTCCGGAGCTCACCACATTTGGAAACTCGACAAGCTCGACTTCCTTGTCTGTCTCAGCGCTTTCCTCGGCGTCCTCTTCGCCTCCGTCGAGATTGGCCTTCTCGTCGCCGTAAGTTCACTCTTTTCTTCTACTCCGGGAGTTCACATATATAATTAATTACCAATTCATATTTTTAAAAAAATATTTACATCATCCTATCCTATCCCTTAATTAAAATCTATACTAAAGGACACTAACTGTCCATTCTTTTAATCATTCCTACAATTACGAAAAAATAAACCCATTTTTATTTATTTATTTATTTGATTTAAATCGCTTAGAACTAGACAATCATGGATGCATATGTGATCTAGCCATTAGGACTAATAAAAATTTGCAAAAGAAATTAAATGGCTTATATGATCTTAGAATTTTCCATATCCAAATAGCTAGTTTGACAATTATATGCATGATTGTATGCACATCATGGCATCAATTATTGTTGAAAATAATAAAATTTGTCGATTGGATCAAATCCGACAAGACTTTTATGTGCAATAAATTGTTATAACTAAACCCACAGGGCCGACCAAAACTGCTTGGCCATCTACACCGGAAAATGCATTCATATATACGTTTCACACTCACGAGACTATATATCTATACATACACGTATGGAATACATATATTTTATTGGTAAGAATCTCATAATTGAGTTCTGGTCATTAATAATAATAATAATAAAGTATTTCTCTCTCTGGCTTTTGTGGATAAGGCTTATCTTTCTGGCCAAACCCTTGAAGTGGATCCACCTAATTGTTCTTCGTCAATCGTGTTTAGTCATATATCAATTCAATACTGGCAAATTAATAACACATATAGATACATACATATATATATATACAGTCAACTAGTCCAAATTAAAATAATCCAAATTCGAATTGGCACAGAATCATCAAATAAAGATAATAAACTATAATGACTACTAAACGTTGCATTCTATCATAATTCCTGTAAGATAATAAAATTTTGAATGAATTCGATCGTATATATTAGAATAAATCGAAATGTAACGACAGAATACGATTATTAAGCAGGTAATAATATCGTTTGCGAAAATACTGCTGAGCTCTATAAGACCCGGGGTTGAAGCATTAGGGAGGTTGCCAAGAACAGATGTGTTCTGTAACATAAACCAGTATCCAATGGCTTCCAAGACTCCTGGAATCTTCACTGTTCGCGTTAGCTCTCCTATGCTTTGCTTTGCCAATGCCAATTTCATTAGGGACAGGTTCCTATTTATAACTTTCTTCCTCATATCATAAATTTTATTTTGTATCTTACATATATATATATATATAT